AGAGGTAACCCCCTTCAAGTACCTGGGGTTGGTCATTCAGGCCACGGGTTCAAGAAAAGCACATGGCAGATATGTGGCTGCCTTGGGCCAAAGATCAGCGAGCGCCATCCTTATTTTTTTTGGAAGAACCTTCCCCTTGGGGTCCTGCAGGCCTCTGCCCTCCTAACCATCAGAGAAGCTCTTAAACCTGTCTTCTTCCCCAAGTGATGGGCTAGGATAGGGCGGGCGAGCAGATTGAAGAAGGGGCTGCATGAGGAATTTCACTTTAGTGCCCGGTTGTTAAGGTTTGTGGTGTGAAAGGATGTATGTTTGGTGTTGCTTAACTTTTGACTGAGAATTCAACGTGATGTGGGCAGCTATATAAAAGTTTTACATAAAATAAATAAATCTCTAAGTCCAATTCATTGCCAGGAAGTCAATTTTTGTCTTTTTATCTTTGCTAAATCTTTAGTGCAAACAAGCTACATCCTGGGGAAAAAAGTCCCTTCTGAAGCAAAGACATTTCCCTTCCCCTTTGACCCCCCCCTAAAAAGACCAACCCCATGTCTTATCTTGTATATAAATGCCTCGATTCCTGTTGCTGGAAGGAAGCCTGGAGTTGCCACTGAGCAGACTTGTTTGTGTCAGAAGGGACTTTTTCCCCCAGGAAGTAGCTTGTTGCTAAAGATTTAGCAACAGGTAAAAACACAAAAATTGACTTCCTGGCAATGACTTGGGTTTACAGATTTATTTATTTTCTTTAAACCTTTTATATAGCTGCCCACCTCATGTTAAATTTTCAGTCAAAAGTTAAACAACACCAAACATACATCCTTTCACACAATACACACAATAAACATTGACAACCTGGCACCAAAGTGAATTTCCTCATGCAGCCCCTCCTTAGCCCCTCTCGCCCACCCTATCCTAGCCCATCACTTGGGGAAGAAAACAGATTTAAGTGCTTTTCTGATGGCTAGGAGGGCAGAGACCTACAGGACCCCAAGGGGAAGGTTGTTCCACAGGGCAGGGGTGCCACAGAAAGGCTCACTTTCAAGATCCCATAAGATGCAATATTTAAGTATTAAATATTATATTTAATATTTAAACTCACAGTTTGCCCACATAGCTGTAGGGTGTAGCCTCACTCTTTGTGCTCCTTCATCAGCATTTGGGCATTTTATATGTCATTTTCTCTCTCTGAGTCCAGGTACACAGAGTCCAGTCACCTCTGCACAGGTGGGATTGGGTTCATGGCCCTCATCACCTGCTCCGTCCAAGCTGGGATCGGAGCCACTGTTTAACAGAGTCTCAGGAAAGATGCTGAGCTCCCATGGAAGCTGCATGGGGTCCATCAGGTTTTGGGGTGCACCAATTGGAAAGGTTCATTTGGGGGGCAGCTGTGGAGAACTCCAGGGCCAACTGTGAGAGGTTCCTCCATGGCAGGGACTGCTGTCAATGTCCCCCAAATCCAGATCAGGATGCCGTTGCCTGCTGGCCAACCCCAGATCGCCCTGGGTGAGTAGGAGGATGAATATGTTAGGGCAGGTCCATGGCTGATTATGATTATGAAACCTAGTTATTGAGCATAGCTGCCTTTAAGAACAATTGAACACCACAAGAAGTCTCGCTTTAGCATCCAGAGGTTTATGAGAATTTGAAGCGTAGTAAACGTAAAACACCTTCATTGATCCCATTGCAATGAGGGTCAATCTGAGAAGCGGTCAAGGGGACGGCTTGAGGCTGATTGACAGCCTTTCACAACTCATCCCAGTCCTTTTATACCTTAGAACCAGAAGGCCACGTCACACTTGCCATTCTGCCATAGCAACAGGGGCAGCTGCTAGTTCCTTCAGCCTAACTGTCACAACATATAAATGTATTTGTATATATGTGAACAACTTAAGTTCCTCTTTTCCCACAATCTTAGCCCACCACATTGTTCCAGCGAAGCAGCTGCCTTGCTTGCAAGACACAAGTTCCACATACTCAGGGGTACCGGCTCATCACTCAGACATCCCTTTCTCTCCCCACAACACCCAACGGAGTCATTGCGACAGCTTCTGCCCAGATCACTCCTTGCTGTGTTGTTATTGCTCTGGTATTGTCTTCCGTACCACACAAAGGCTAATAATTTTGTTTTATTGCCAACTTGGAATAATTACTTTCCCTTTGGGTCTCCAAATTTCATCATTTGCAGCTTGTGTTTTTTCACTTGTCTTTTCCTGCTGCGTCTTCCTTCCTTCCAGCTGTAGTTGCAGCTACAAATATCACGCAAAACATTATAGGAAATGTAATCATTTCTTTTCTGTCTGGGTTGACCTGCAGCCCCCTGAACCACTCCAATGCTAATCATTTCATGAACATGCATGAACAGTGATAATTGTCAATTTTTTTGTGGTTTGGAATGAGATCCCAACTGCCATGAAATAATGGCCTTGCTTAATCACGATGCGTTCATCATCAATGCAATCATCAGAAAGCAAGTGATCAAAAAATAAAAGACATTGATGACACATGAGACTTGAAAAATAGAAAACATGGATTCTAAACAACATTCCACAAATAAAAAATATATGGGTTTGTATCTAGCTATAGCTACTGGAAACAAAGTCATAATTCAGCAGAAATAATTTTTAGTCCCAACAATGCAAGGATAAAGCACTCTCTCTGTGGTGTCATCTTCCTTGCAATTCTGTACTTTAGGATCTATTGGGTGTGTGGTGTAAACAATTTGATAGATTATGTTGATGAAGATCTCAATTGTTGATAGAGTACCCAAGTTTGATTTTTTAAAAGAATTTTTCTGTACCTGATCTGAGAATTTATAGGGCAGAGAAAAGGCAGGAGCAGCAGCGAAGGTCGACCCAACTGCTCGTGCGGAGGCAGCTTCATCCCTCTTGGTGAGTTGCACCAGAAGCTCTTTAGCACAACAGATAGATGGAGATAACGCTGGGAGCAATGTGTTTGTTTCCTAGCTGGGTGTTTCCTGGTCATGGTGATTCCTGCCTTGTTTGGATTGACACTGCGGATCATGCCTTGTGAACTCTGGACTTTTCTTGCCTCGTGAAGTTTCTTGTGTAGTGGATTTAATTTTGCCTGGTGGGTTTATCTTGTTTGGGAACCTTTCAAGTGCTTTGTGGACTCACTGGCCATTGCTCTGTGGACTAGCATCGGTCTGCTTTTGGCTGGACTTAGTGGGTTTCTGGGTTCTGGGTTTCTGATGAAGAGAATTGCTGGGGAATATTAATAAACCTACTAAACCACCATTATGTGTGTGTGTGTAAGAGAGGGAGAGTGGGAGAGCACAAGGGCCAGCAGAGAGTGGCCCATCCATAATAGGGGACTCATGTTAATGCCCTCCAAATCCAGATCATGATGCCACAACCTGGAGGCACCTGATCTTGACCTGTGAGTGTAGGGCAGGTCAATCTGGCATTAATCACCTGGCTAATAGGTGTCTCCCTTTGCCAAATAGTTATTTTGTATTTTAATTTGATGTATTTTTCTCTCTTTTTAAATGGTAATAAGGGTTTACCTAACCAGTACAGACTGGAATGTAGGAAAACTTTTTATCCTATCACTGTATGGTTGTAGCATTTCTAAACTGAAAAGCTCAGTTAGAGGAGGAGATGTTTGGACAATGTCTCCCGATAACAGAAAGCTTGGCTAGCCTTAATTGGCATCTGGTCTGTCCCTTCGTGAACTCCAAACAACCTTTTTTCCTTATTAAAATCCTAAAATCTACTGTACGCCCCTTCTGTTATCACACTTCATTTTAATGAACATGTGTGGTATTATGGGATGCAAATAAGTAACAGGTTTGACCACATATAACTGATTTCTTACACAAAGGCAAAGTTACTTTTTTCCTATCCAATCACTTTTTCTCTTGCATTTTCTTTGATGTCTTCACTCTAACTAAGAGTGCAGAGAAGAGCAACCAGGATGATGAGGGGACTGGAGGCTAAAACATATGAAGAAGGGTTACAGGAACTGGGCATGGCTAGTCTCATGAAGAGAAGGACCAGGGGAGACATGACAGCAATCTTCCAATATTTGAGGGGCTGCCACAGAGAGGAAGGGGGTCTTCAGAAGTTGTGGGAACTTCATCCCTGGAAGCTTTCAAGAAGAGACTGGACTGCCATCTGTCAGAAATGGCGTAGGGTCTCCTGCTTCGGCTGGGGGTTGGACTAGATGATCTACAAGGTCCCTTCCAACTCTGTTAATCTGTTAAATTATAAAAGGAATCGGAATACAGAATAACAGAGTTGGAAGGGACCTTGGAGGTCTTCTAGTCCAACCCCCAGCACAAGCAGGAGATCTTACACCATTTCAGACAAATGGTTGTCCAGGCATTACAGTCTCTTCTTAAGGGAACGTAAGATGGGTCTCGAGGTTCTCTTTTTTCATAGGGAGGCCCCACTTTAATTAATCTACTCTAATAAATTGCTTTTAAAAGATCTTCCAGCTCGGTTGCTTATTGGAAAAGGTAAACTGAGACAGAGCCTAGAGCCAGATTGAGCCATCAGCTCCCCCTGTTGAGGCTCCATTGGTTCAAACTTGCAGTCTTCCACTCCAAGATGCCTCCATCTTCCTTCCCTAAGAGATCCCAAGTAGATCCCAAAGCTGTTCCGCAGGCTTCCCTGCATCGTTGTTGCTCCTCCACATATGGGCTCTGTTCTGCCAGTTCCCTTAATTTGTAGTGCAAATTGTTTTGGATTAAGTCTTGGATTAAAAATTAAATAAGAAGAATTAATTAAGAAGGTTGTCAGGGAATTACGCAGCAACTATGCGAATGAAATCAGAAACACTGACACGAACTTGTGGTTTTATACAAATAAATCTATTTTACGTTTCTGTTTACAGCACTGCTACATCATGAGGTAAATCCTCAGGTAAATCAGAGAACAGCATTCGGAGCAAACATACAAGAAAAAAGGCGGGAAAACAAGGAAACTCCCCCTTTACACCCATCAGCCAATCACAATACAGATTGCTTCACGCGGGAGCCCACTCTCTCCAGTCAATCAACTTCAACTGTGTGTTCTGGCCCATCGTTCAATTTACTCTTCCCGCTATTAAATTAAATATCTTAACAAATGTGCAGAAAGCCACAAGGGCTTCCCCCAGAGTTTACCCAGGGATGATGGCAGGTGGGCTTTCTTCTGCACAATTTCCGGATAGAAATTGATAGGCAAACAAAGAAAAACTTCCATTGCACATCTCCACTAAGGTGCAGCTCAAACACAACAGAAAAACCAACAGTAATTGAAACCACCTGAAAGCAATGCAACCATTGCATGCCATGAGATATTTACTGTGCCTGTATAGGCATGTAATGTAGACATTATCAACACCAAATAGTTTTGGTTTTTACATGTTGATTAGGGCAATGAAAACTTTGGAGTAGATTAATTGAAGGGTTTAATAAACCCCCGTTCTCATGTTTTGGTTAAAAGGGTTTCGCTGGGTTCCCACAACACACAAGACATTAATTGAAGTTGCAATGGAGTATCTGGGTTCCTACAATATGACAGGACCACAAACCAAGTTAAGAAAAAGGAATTGCTGCTCTTAAGAAAAGGGTGGAGGGTTTATTCACACAATCTGCTAAATTGACAGCTGGGTTTTGAAGAAACGGTGAACCACAAATCGATTAACTCTGTTTTTAGGTAGTCTTGTCTGCAATTTCCCCTCCTTATTCCAATGACTTTTTTTCACATCTCCCCTTTTGGACTTCCCTTTCTGAATTTGTTCAACTGCAGTAATCTGAACCCCCCCCAAATCCTGGCTAGTTTTGGGTGACACACTAAGCCACAGAATAACTAACCAAGCAGTGTGAGTTATGTTAAAAAAAGATATTCCTTAGAGCTGATCAAGAATCTATTTGGAATGGAATGGAATGGAATGGAATGGAATGGAATGGAATGGAATGGAATAGAATAGAATAGAATAGAATAGAATAGAATAGAATAGAATAGAATATATACTTGTGGTATACTCATTTATCAAGGTTTATCTTCTTCTCAAAACCTTCATGGAAACATTACTATTTTGTTTCTTACCTTTTCAAACAGTCCAATGATTCTGGATGGAGAGTTTACAATCAATCAATCAATCAATCAATCAATCAATCAATCAATAAAAATACCATTTGAATAAAAACATACACAACGCAGTAAAATCTAATGCAAATGGGAAACACAATTTAAATTAGGCAGTTGCAAGATAGTCATTCAAAATCTAAAACAATGTGAATGAAAACATAATTAAAAGCATGGGAAACTTACACAATAATAAAATAACAGAAGGGACCTTGGAGGTCTTCTAGTCCAACCCCCTGCCCAAGCAGGAGACCCTCTCCCATTTCAGACAAATGACAACTGAAAACAGAATGGTCCCCACTTGGCACCTATTAAGAATCCCATAATTGTCCTGGCATCTATGCTACATAAAAAACAAGTAAAATAGGCTGCGTAATTGTGTTCACACAACTAATAGAACCCTTGTCTGAGATGTGTGGAACATTGGGATGTGGTGGGGAACCAGGCCCTTTCCTAAAGCAAGTAACTGCTCTATCTGGCTGGAGGAGATGGCGTTACACATGTACTTCTGGTTTCAGCTTTTGGTCACTCACGGCCCTGAAAAATTGCCATGCTCAGATCATTTTCAACCCAACACTGGGGCACAAATGGTTCTTTAGAATACATGGAGACCTAGTGAATTTAAAATAACAGCAAACTTTCCTGGTTACAGTGTATATCTATTTGCTTTTCCACACAGACACACTGAAGGGACTTGGGGTGGGGTTTCCCAGGTGCTCAGTCCCAACTTCCTTTTTTTCATTCAGGTGACTTTTGTTTGTTTGTTTGTTTGTTTCCTTAACAACTTGGTCCCTTCCTAGCCTTTATCCACTCTGCTTGTGTGCCATCATGAATCTTTAGATATGGCCGCTTATCTGGGGCCCATTAATGTTCCTGCCAGAATTTCTTTCTTGGCCCGCTTCCTTCCTTTGATCTGAACCCGTGTCAGGCCCAAAGAACCAAGAATCACACATGGAGTTACTTCTGAAAAGTTCCTTTTTTGTTGTTCGCCTACAGACAGAATCTTGCCGGACTAAAGCAAATACCTGCCATAACTATAGATTTACTCTGTGAACTTCTAGGGAGGATCCAACTTGCTCTGTTTCTGCTTTCCAGACATTCCAAGCTCCACTTTTTCTTTGCCCCTGGAAAAAAAACCCTCCCTCCTGTGACTCTAAACTGCATTTCATCACACAATCCCTCCACTGTCCTTCTTCCTTTCCTCCTTTGATTTGTCCCACACCATCTCCAGCAGGGTCAACCCAGTCTACATGGAAACTATAGCCACATAACCACAGAATTGCTTTCTTGTTTAACTTTTCAAATGTTTGTTGTTGTTCTTTTAAGCATATTCGTTTCCAGCCAAGCATGAGCTGCCTAGAAAAGTGGAGTTTCTTCCTTGAGGGAGCTTGTCCTGTTTCTCAACTTGGGCAGATATGCCTTGAGTCCTTGGCCCAGGGGGACCTCACAGCTGGATGCTGATCTGTCACACGCATGAATATGTCAGGGGTGGGCTTCAAAAATTTTAGCAAGGGGTTCTCTGCCGGTTGCTGGGTGGGCATGGCCTAGTCGGCCTCCTGCACCATGGTGGTGGTAGGGGGTGTTTTTGCCCTCCCCAGGCTCCGTACGCTTTCCTTGAGCCCCCGTGAGGGTGAAAACAGCCTCCCCATGCTCTGGAGGCCCTCTGGAGGCTGGAAACGGGCCCATTTCTGGCCTTCCTGAACTTCCGGTAGGCCTGTTTTTTGCCCTCCCCAAACCTCCATGCACACCCTGCATTTAGCTGCATCCAAAACGGGCCACGTGGGGACTCCTGGGAAGGGTGGAGTGGGGCGGGCAGGGCCAGCAAGGAGTGGGCTTTGGGGTTCTCCAAACAGCACAGAATCTTAGTTAGAGTTTCTCCCAAACCCCTGTGAACCCCCAGCAGCCCATCCCTGGAATAGGTCCCTCAGGGTCAACCCAGTTGTTAAATGTTCTCCATGCAAGAGAGGATGAGCAATAGTAACCCAAACATTCAGTGGGACCTTGGACTTGCTCCCCACCCCCATCCCTCACCTGGAATCACAGGCTCAGAGACTCAGAGCATTATAGAATTGGTGGGGTTAATTGCTTTCCACAGGAAGAGGAGAAGGAACCACAAAACATGTTCTTCTGTTAACACGCCATGATGGCTCTCTCGTTCACAATAATGTGGATAAGGAGCTTTATTGCAGACTCACTGGCATTCAGCAACCACAGGTTGAAATCTGGAGACTCAAAGCTCTGATGGCCAGGCAGTGGGAATGAGTGCAGGGACTGCTGACTGGCACCAGGATTTAACACCAGGTCCCCTTCCCAGAGTGGTCCACCACTTACCAGCCACTTCATCTTCTTAAGACCCATCATACTCATGATGTTCCTGCCTGCCCTTCCCCCCCCCCCAACAACACCCATTCTTACTGACTCTTCCCCTCCTATCCCTGTGGAGACAGAGAAAAGGAGGAGAAGGAAGGGCCTGGTGGCTCAGCAGACTGATAGCATTGTGATTAACACCAGCTGTCTGCAATTACTGTAAGTTCGAATCTCACTAGGCTCAAGGTTGACTCAGCCTTCCATCCTTTCAAAGGTAGGTGAAATGAGGACCCGGATTGTGGGGGCAATAAGCTGACTTTGCATAAATATACAAAAGGATGAAGGCTACTGCTTAACGCATTGTAAGCCGCCCTGAGTCTCCGGAGAAGGGCGGCATATAAATCAAATCAAATTAAAAAAAATAAAAAAGGAAGAGAAGGAGAAGGAAAAGGAGGAGAAGGAGAAGGAGAAAAATCTGGTAGAACCTGTTTCAATGTCCCAGTTGCAAAGCCAAGAGGATATGGGTGATCTTCACTCAAAAGTATTGGCCTTTCTTAAATAATTATTTATTTATTTGATTTGATTTGATTTTGTTGTTGCCTGTTTCTAGAGCAACTCTTGACACCTTACAATATAAACCAGGAAGAAAACACAATGAGGGAGGGGAGGGAGGGAGGGAAGGAGGGCGTTTCAACCTGCTTTCTGGACCACCTGCTTTGGATCACGTTGTCTTGCCATGCAGGGGGTGATCCTATGAGCTGGATATATAAGCTGGAAAAGAGACCATTGGTGGCTCAGAAGATTTCTCCTTCAGATTGGATCCCCCTTTGAAGGTGAGAGCCATAGATTATAGAAAGAAGTTTAATGTAACTTTAGTGAGAAAGATTATAGCATATTTGTACATATAACTGCTGTGAAGAATACTACTTCTAGGCATTTTTTCTTTTCTATTTTGTCTTTAACTTTTTTCTTTTTTCCCCTTTTTGATTTTTCTTTGATTTCTTTCTTCTTTCTTTCTTTCTTCTTTTATATTTGTTTGTATTCGTTTTCATTGTTCTTACCTGAAGGTTTTAATAATAATAATAATAAAAACTATATGCAATAGCTTCAGGGATACCTTAGTCAGTTCTCACTGCCATGTATGTCTCTTGCTCTGATCAAAATCAGGAAATATCCTGACAGCAGCACCCCTTCCTCTTTTTAAAAAGGCCTGTAGGTTGAAATTCCTCAACCTCCTTTGTAAGAATCCCAGGTCAAAAGGGTATTTTACTTGATGGATGAGGCAGCATAGCATCTGTTTTATAAAATGACAAAAAGTCCTGTATTTCTCATAAGAGTTTGATGGTTTGCATTTTGTGTGTTTATGACTTTTTTTTTTTTGGTTCATTTTTTGGCAACCAAAAAAGGTGATTCACAGGATTAAAAGGGGAGGGGGAGGATTGCTGTTCTTGTCCACAGAAGAGATACAGAAGAAGAACAGCAAGACAGGAGCCTTAAAAAAATAATATTTTCCATTTAGGCATTGAGTTCATTCTGGCTGGGGATTAGCTAAGGGTCCCCTTTCCAAATTCTTCTATGAATAACAGAATTGGAAGGGATCTTAGAGGTCTCCTAGTCCAGCCCCCTGCTCAAGCAGGAGTCTCTAGACCATTCCAGACAAATGGCTGCCCCATCTCTTCTTTAAAACCTCCAGTGATGGAGCACCCAGTTTCTGGAGGCAAGCAGTTCCACTGGTTAATTGTCCTCACTGTCAGGAAATTTCTCCTTTGTTTTAGGTTGCTTCTCTCCTTGATTGGTTTCCATCCATTTCTTCTTATCCTGACCTCAGGTACTTTGGAGAATCTTCTTTGTGGCACCCCCTCAAATATTGGAACACTACTTCTATTTATTAAACTAGACCTGCCCAATTCCTGCAACCGTTCTTGGTGTGTTTTAGCCTCCGGTCCCCTAATCATACTGGTTGCTCTTCTCTGCACTCTTTCTTAGAGTTAAGACATCTTTTTTAACATCACGCTGACCAAAACTGAATGCAATATTCCCGGTGTGGTCTTATTAAGGCATTATAAAGTGGCACCTAAGAAGATCAGACAAACATATACCATACATGAGCCACACCATCTATGACCCACATCTTAATGGTCACAATGGGGGAAAACCAACGATGAGGGCCAGAAGCTCAGAACCAACATTTTGAGAATTACAGGCTGTGGTTC